TAAATATTATATTATGAAGAAAGCAACATTTTATTTTTGTAGGTAAAATATATGGTTCTATAAAATATTAGTTATCATTCCAACAAAAACTTCACATAAAAGTTCTATTTATATAAAGATGTTAGGTATCCTTATCCCAGACACAAAAATAAAAACTGTATAAACATCTCTTGGGGCAATTCTCTTATTTTGTTAAATTTGTTTTTTTCTAACTAATACATTTCACTGTAACATATTACATTAATAAAATTAGGTATTACAAGTGATGGTACTAGACTACTTACAAGAGGTACTAGCTTATATACATATTAATAAACGTATATATTTGTATTAAATAAAAAAGTGTCTAATTAAGTATTAGACGGTATATTATAATTATTAAATGATTTTACACAATTATGATGAACAATTATTGATAAGATAGTTATGAAACGTTTTAATCGTTTAAATTATATTTATAATTTCTCCATCTAAAAAAAAAATAATTGGAGCTCTTAAGTTCATTAAACTAACCGATTCTTAAACACAATATTACCTGTAAATTCTTTCATTATCATCTGTTTAGATTGTTCTGTATGAAATAACTGGTCATTAAGTAACTGAATTAATTCAGCTTTGTCAAGGAGCCCATCGTGTTTTTTTCTTGGTCATTAAACATTCCCACAAAAATTTTTACTTCATATGTTGTTAAACCTACTACCTGATATAATTGCAAATACAAGAGAATAAAATAGTACCATTATTATTAACCTTTTGTTTTATTCCAATATGTTCATGTATATTAGGAGAGTATAAGAAACTATTATGCTCTCCTATTATGTATAAACATTATATATTTATGTATTGTTTAATTTTTTTAATACATTTATTTTAAACCTTGGGCTGTTGTAAGTAATTAATTTAAATTTAGATTAAATAATTCGGTATTACCATCCCAGTTGTCAGTTGTCTTATTATTATAAGCCAACAATATCAAAAACCGTGCTATGGTTTTATTATTGACCACAAATCCTAAACAAATATATTGAAAATTGAAACAAGTCATACATTACAAAAAAATAAATACAAAGTTTTAACTAAGCTAAAATTGTTCGTGGTAAGCAAAATAATTTTCAGTGATTATAGAAATTAATAACATGCCTATTAAGATTGAATTAGTGAAGTATGGACTAACATTACCTTTATGCATCAATGGTAAGAACTTATGTTTTTTTTACCAAATCGTTTGATATTACCTGTATAGCCCACCTCCGATAAATAAGCAATAATCTCTTTCTTAAGAAATGTATCCATGTGTACATTTTGCTTTGAAACTAATTTATCGATTTGGCCCTGGTCTAATCCAATGCTCTGTAATGTACAATATACGTAAACGAATAAAACAAATTATTTTTAAATTACTATATTGAACTTATTATATTGTAAATGCTCTAGTTTTTATTGATATTATTCTCTGCATTTTTCTTACCCGTGCTACCGTAAAAAAATATAAAACGGAAAATGAACGGATATTTTGTAAGGCATTATTATTTTTTTAGTTTCTAACCTAAATTCGCTCACGTGTACCCAAAACACATTCTGTACTTTAGTCAAAAAACCGTATATTAAACAATAACATTATTTTACCGTTGCAGCTGAGTATCGAAAACTAATAACGAAACGAAAAAGGTATTTACTATTGTTTAAGACGTTTGGAACCCCTTGATTTTCAGAGCCGCTTTTTTTTAAATTTTGACTTTTAAATGTTATTGGGTGAAACTTAACGCACATTTTAAGCCCAAATTTGAAGTTTAACCTTAATAATATGTAGTTTGCGCATGCACACTATCAACTTTTGAAATTCAAATGGGAACCACTATATTTTTCGAATTATTCTGTTAGCATTTAATATTTTTAAGACAAAACTGTTAAAAACAATTTTTTATACTCAACTGTTCAAAAGCTATAGCTATTTAAAGTACAAATTAGTGCACTATTAAGAAGCATTTACTGCTACATTTGAGACAAATAATTTGGTTTTGTTTTGAAAAAAAGTGTAATATATTACCTGAACTATTATTTTAAAGAAAAAAAATATACTATACAATTGAATTAATTGCCTAAATTGTCATTTAAAAATTTGTCAGAAGAAGTACTAATTGTATTCTTTTTTGGAGACGCTATAAATTATAACGAAGCATCATAATGCTAATTTATTATATCATAACGTTTATACGGAAAATATTATACGGTTCCAAACTTTACCTATACTCTATAGGATTTTCGTACATGTAATAAATAACAATGACCGGCGACTGCCGTTATACAACACGCATAAACTACCCGTAATAAATAAGGAACGGTTCCAAACTTATTCTATTGCATTTGTACAGGTAATAATGTCCTTAAACCGCAAACCAACGCGTCATTTGTCTGCAATCACTAACAATATTGTCATAAATATTATCATTATGTAGCTAAATCGACCATTAAAGCTCAACGCTGCCATCACGGGATGGTTTCTTGACGAATTCGCCTTACCCACTCGGACAACACTCCGCCCTCTGATATAACAATACAGACACTTCACACTTACTTTTTTTTTGTTAAATTATACATACCGTAATGTTGTTTATAAGGAACTATTGAATAAACATAAAAGTAAAATGAATGACGGAATATTGTTGTCTAGGTTCAAAAGATACTGTATAACACAGTATTGATACACCAAATAAATGCATAAATAAAAATAGGAAACTTAAGTTCAATAACAGTTGAGGCATAATTGCAAAATTATTGTTTACATAAATATTACATAATAATTGCATGTTACATAATAATGTACAGATACCGTCTGCACAGGCCGTGACGTATGTCATGTGCTGGGTCAGCACTAACGCGGTTCGCGCAAGGGTTCATAACAAACATAGCATCACTATATTGTAAATTATAGTAGGTACTTAGCATTACATTTTTTAAAAACATATCTTTAAAAATGCCGTTCAATAATCAAGTGTTTAGTTTGATTTTAATATGTCTTTAAAGCATATGGCTTTTCGTATTAAATTGTAAGTTTTTTTTAAACATTTTTATTTGAGTCGTTATGTTTAAAAATGTTATAGGTTGTGAGACACTTGAATACATGAAAAACGTATTTAATATGAAGTTCTATACTACTAACACTTTAACATTTTTATACGAAAGTCATTTAAATACATTTTAGCTATGTTGTTTATAGTTGTTCTTAGTTCTGTTGTAATAAAAGTAGTTCATGCAAATCAGTATGTGTTTTGAGCTTCACCTTGAATTGTTTTTTTAGTATTCTATTGGTACAGTTGGAATGGATACATTATGAATATTTTTTCAATTCTTCTTCTTGACGCAGATTTAGACTATAAACATATTTTACACCTACCACCCAAAAAAAAAAAAATCACTCATAACATACATATATTATCAATATTTCATCCTATAGTATGACATTGTACTAAGTCGTCCACTAAGTTCAGATCAGCCACCCACCTCATCCTATAAAGCAATGGGGTATTTACACCACCATACAATTGTGTTCGGCTACACTTTTTATTGATAATATAATTATTGTATCAGTTACAAGATAATACTTGTTTTAATGGACTATTTTCCATTGTACACACTTTTTCATTAAAATTTAAAGACAATTTGAACAATTAGAGGGTTCACCCTTTATGATTGTACTAAACAATGAAAATTCCTATGTTGTATTAGATATTGTAAATTAAAAATTGTTTTAACTATTGTCATATGATCTATAGGTAAGAGTACCAATAAAATAAAAGACAAGCTCTACGGTTTCAATAAGCTTTATGATATTATCACTTTAGAGGCTAGTAATTATAAATCATATACAAATGTATTTAAAACAAAAAAGAGAAAAATCAATACTAATTTTGTAATAAAAATTCTCATTATTTTTACAAATTGACACTATTTTTTGGTAAAGGTAAACAGGTAATTTGGTAACGGTAATTATAAACACAATATTTTCTCTTGAGAATTACATTGCAAATTTAACGGTATCCAATGTATTTTGTATTATTTTTAGACAATAAAAGAACCGAAAACCCTTCTAATTTTATTTTTGGGTTTTGTATTTTGAGATATGGAAAAAAAAACATCTTTTATAAATTCCAATTTATAACGAAATCTCAAAAATACGGATTATTAAGTTTGAATTCAATATCTTCAGATTTCGGTTTCGAAAACTCATTTTCAACAATTTGAAGACTAATTTGTTATTCTTTAATTTTATAGACGCATACATAATAGGTTGTAAATAGAGACTAGTATGATTAAGTATAGTTTACAATTTTATTAAATTCTTATTGACCCATCCTCTTTATGAGGTTAAACCACTTATTAGGTGACATAACCTAGCCTAGTATTTTAAGTGTACCGCCTTGAATATTAGACATTTTAAAATAAAAAGTTGTACCATTAATAATATCTTTGTTTTTAATAAAATAATTTATATTAAGTAGTTAGTATCATACACAGTTTTACACCGAAGCAATTATTTAAAATTGAAATTTCTTAATTTCGTCTTTAAATTATACCAAGACTTGTGACCCCTTTATGTAGGTACTTTTCATTTGTAATTTACAGTCATTTTATTACTAGGACTTAAGCAACACTAAAATTTTACTTGGATTATTTTAGTAACAACAGGACATTTTTCGTTGCCACTAAAATATAATACGACCAAGAAACATGTTAAAAAAAGGGAGAATAAGTAGCCGATTGTTTTTTTCAAATTGTTTATAGACCAAGTTTAGGCTTGTGAATAATATTCAACTCCAATAACGAACACGTTAGTATTTTCAAAACTTTAGATTACTGAATTGATGAAAAAAACCAAAAAAATATTGTAAAATAAATATCTTATACAAATACAGTTGTCCGAATATTGCATTGCTAAAAACTAAATCTACGAAAATACTAGCTATTATTCAGTATTAGAATCATTTACGTGTTCGGTTTCTTCTAAAGCAAATGTTATATTCATTAGTTAGAAAAACTTTAAATAAAAAAAATGTTTATGAAGTACATATTATTTTTTTGCTTAACATATTTTATTCCAAAGGTTAACTCTATGGACGAAGTGGTAATTATAGACTTTTCAACAAGCACTTATTCATATTTTTTGGTATTTGTTTTACCCAAAAAGTTAAAATATATTTAATACTATTGTCTACCGAAACATTTAGAAAAATATAATAAGCTGTATAAAAACAGATTTTTTTATTGTAGACTCGAAATAGTCGTATTTTTAGTATTCCACTAATTTTATACACTGGTGGTCTTAGCTAGCTTTGATGAATAGCTGTTTTATTTTTATTATTATTTTTTTTTTAAACCTGAATTCACGTTATGTTTTTTCGATGTTACGAGTTTCCAGGTATATCAGAAATCGTACCTAAATAGTATTTTAATGTACCAAAAATTTAAAAAATAATCACTTCTAAATAAAAACCGAAAAAACGACTAAAATAAAAAAAAATGGGGAATGTTTGCAAAGCTCTATTAAAATATAATATGTAATACCTATGATAAAATCATAGGTACTACATATTATATTTTAACAGCTTGCGTACGAGTACGCAACACCACGGGATACATTTGTATGTATCTAAAGTGGCTAGTAAACATATCAAGTTTCTGGCTAGTATTTTAGTGTTTTCATAATATCTGGCCCAAAACAATTCATAGAGAATTTGGCCCCTTAAATTATTGAATTTATTATTCGTTTCTATTTTGAACGTTGTGAACACAACAAATATGCCCCCACCCTCAATCCCACTCCCAACCACAACCCTCATCTCTCACCCCTAACTCTCACCCCCTATCTATAACCTCCTATCTCTTAACCCCTATCTCCTTCCCTTATCTTTTATCTCTCTTATCAGATAAATCAGCTGATTTTTTGGTTATGATAATCGGTGTCGGTGTCGATTTTTCCGGTTGTGTTTCAAAGTAAAAACCATAACTCTTATCTAAACAGATAAATCAGCTGTTATTTTTCGTTATGATAACCGGTGTCGGTTTTTCCGTTTATGTGCCAAAGCAAAGACATAAAAATATCAAAAAAACAATAGTATTCAATAATAATAATTTTTTTTTTTATAAAATTAGTCAAAAATACATTTTATAACACTTCTTATGCCATTGCATTAAAATTTTCAGGTAATGGAAATTCTCTGGGACGCGATAAGATGCGAAAGTGACTTTATAAATCAAGGTTATTGGTGTAGGTATTATAAAGACGAAGATCCAACTGAATTCTTAAGCGTATTACAAACGTACGGCCACCAGTCGGCAGAAAATGAAAGTAATCATGTTTCATGTTTTTACACGTAAAGTTTATATCACCCTAAAAATGACTGAGTTAAATTCTTTATGCAGCAGTTATATAGATATAAGCTCATGGCGGATGTTTATAGGATATATTAGAAATCGTACCCAAAAGGGTATTTTATTGGAACGGAAATTTAAAAAGTTTCAATTAAAAATCGAAAAAAACACAAATGTAAATTTATTTTAACTTTAAACTGCAGTTTGCTATAGCTTTTTATAATAATAGTTATATTAAGAGGTGCTTATTTGGGTAAAAATTTAAAAAATCATCTCTTGCCCTTCAAAATTAAGAAAAACTATCAAAAAATGAAAATAAGATACAAACGCATAATAATCAGCTGCAAAAGAGTTAAGCTAACCTACTTTCTATCGATTTGATTTACAAACGTCTAATTCATTTAAAATATACTATAATTATGCAATGACTTTATTACAGTAATATATTTCGTCATATGTACATTTTATAATCAAGGGATTTACGCCAAAGTGTTTATTTAAAATTATTTTATCACATTCAAAGATTTCTAAAGACCATTAACATTCTTAATCGTATAATGGTCCATCCCACATAATATGACCCCAATGTACTGGAGTTGTTTTTTATTATTTGTTGATTTTTAGACAATGTAGAGTACAGAATGTATTATAAGGATTTTAAAAAAGCTGCATCTGATGGACACATACACTTTTATTCTGAACAGGTAATTTAATAATTATCATTTTATGCTTGATACTATGAGCTTTAGTCTTTTAGAATCATTGAATAAGCACAAATTTATATTTAATAAATATAATTGTTCAACATTTTTTTTCTATTAATTTTACATAAGTTTTTAAAATCAATGTCTAGGCAATTAAATCTGTATTCGAGGCAATAATCGCAAACAAACAAAACAAACTTACAAGCAATATTACCCACAAAGACTTGAGTCATTATTATGGACCAATAATTCTACCACTTCAACTCGGTAATGTTTTAAACAAATACAGCAAAAGGCCAATAATATGTAATTAAAAATTCTTGTGCTTTTAATAAACAATGGTAAAGCCATCATGGGTGTCCACAAGGCTTTAGCTAAGATGTCTTTATAGTATAGTATTTTTATTTCAAAACATTATATTTTTATTTTATCTCTAGCGCAGCTGGGAACTTTGCCCCCAAATTCCTTATTGTAAACTTTGTTGTTGTATTATAGTATCATTAAAATTGTTTATTTATATTTTTTGACATTTAATAAAAGTTATGTCCTTAAAGGATTACCACTTAACTAAAAAAATATATTTTACATTGAAAACAAAATATAAATAATTAAAGTAGGTAAAATGATATATTTAAAACAAAATTCTGAAGACCATATCTATGCAAATTTGCTAGCCAATGGCATCTGATGCCAACAGTCATTAATTCAATAAAAATCTGTTTAAAATATGTTATGTATAAAATATTTACTATTTTAAATAGCTTCAACTTTCACGAGATTATTAAAACATTTTTAACTTTACTGTTTGGACTTTGTTGTAAACATTAAATCTTATTAATATTGTTTTTTATATTGTTATCTTAATTGGTACGGAATATTTATATTTTATTGGTGTTTTTTATTAGGTAAACATTTAGGGTTTAATGAATTTAAAAAAGCCGTAAACAATGGTGATCTTCCAAAACCTTGGCGTGATGAAGTTGCAATTGAGGCGGTATGAATTGTTTTTTTTAAATTATAATAGCTATTTGCATTAACATATGAAGTCCACTTATAAATATGGATACATCAAATATATATTTTGTATCGTTTTTATGAATGATGTCTCCCTATTCCTCCACGACTTGCACGAAAGCTTACGACAGTTTCAATTTTGACGCTTTAATGTACAATTTAACAATTTCTATAAGTTTGTCAATTTTTTTGAAAAATAGGAAAAAAAATATAAATAACTTTAGGATGTACTATGGAAGACTAAATCTATGTTGGGTTGGCGAAATATCTTTAGGACATTTTTGAAAAATTAGCTTTATATTTTGTTGACGTAAATCTTATGCTAGTTTTATGCTAAATTTTATAAAAAGAATAAAAAATAGCTCATCAAATTAATTAAAAACCGATCTGAATCACTTATTATATCATTTTCATCACTATTTTTAGGAAATAGTATATCTATTCAACAAGATGAAAAATATACAAGAGGACTATGTTAATAGGGCCTTCATGAGTAATTATTATGGAGATTATAACGACTACAAACCTATTGTGAAAACTTACGGATCCATACATATTGTAAAAGACGGTAAAATTGTGATGTTATAATATTTTAGTTTGTAAACTAGAGCTTCGCTCTAGCTGGGGTCTCCGCCCCCAGGCCCCCGAGTCGGGCGGGTAGGCCACAGATTCCCGGTACTGTACCCGGCTACGCCGGGCACGCTCACGTCCCCTCGCTGCAAAGTATTTTCGGGGAGGTCACAGATTCCAAAGGGGGGTGCCCGGCTGCGCCAGCCACGGTGTCGAGCCATCGGAATACGTCTTAAAGGAATGCCGTTATAATTCATGGTACCTATAGGCTGTATCTAGTAATCAGAATTCATACCTAGTTATGGACAAATATTTTGCAAGCTAAGTACTGATTAAGTGTAGAGTAAGTCTAGCTATGTATCTGTAATTTTTTTTAATTTTAAATTGAAAAGAATAGTCTAGAAGTTAGACGGTTAATAAATATCAAGTGTCCGGTGTTGCTACCACTTTTACCAATTTGTATGAACTACCAATGTCCAGTTCCTTATCAGCGGGCGGAATTCGTATTGATAACTGATAAGGACGGCAGGTTTTCGAGTGTTTTAGCATTCGCTCGCTCGGCGCCGTCGCTTCGATCCGCCAACTAAAAATATCCTAGGTTTGTAGGCTACAGTCTATGAGGAGGTAACAGGTTTAAAATTAAGTTTAAATTAAAATTTTAAAAAGTTAAAGAGACTTGATAAGAAGCTGGCCATTGGGAAAAAGTGTATAATGGAAATTGTCTTTGGTAAAAGTTGTTATATTATAGACCACGTCATCAATATAGGCCGGTGTCATCCCGCTTAACTTTATGAGTTGAAAACAGATAAAAATGTCTAGAGGACAGTCAGCTAAATGTCTGTTAAGGTTTACCTTTGTGAAACAAAATTTGTTTAAACGTAGTATGTTATATGTCTGTACACAGCGGTTCCGAGGGGGGTGCCCGGCTACGCCAGCCACGGTGTCGAGTCAGCTCACTATGTTTTAAAGTATACCGTTATAATTCATCGGACCTTTATCCAGTAATCATAGTTCATACTTAGTTTCGAAAAAGTGTTTTGCAAGCTAAGTACCGGTTAACTGTAGTGCAAGTCTAGCTATCTGTCAGATCAGAAACGTCCTACTACTAAAGCGAGTGTGCTACTTGCTTAAAGTACAATTATTTTTTTTTTTAATTTGAATTGTTTGAGGTGTTGCTATTAAAATATGGTTTGAAACTTTATAAAATTGTATTGTAACAGAAAAAAATGTATATTTAGAGATACTAGGTGAATATGATGAATACAGAATGACAATTGAAGAATTTAAAAAGGCCGGGTCAGAGGGGGACATACCAAGATTTAGTAGAAAGGTAATTTAATAAGTATTACGTTATTTTCATTATATATTTATGTGCACACGATAATTACAATTGGGTAATATTGGGTATTACTACCTATAGACTAAAAAAAAAAACAACTGTACAGTTCAGCTTATAAATGATAAATCTATAAATGTAGTGCAATGTCCATACCTACATGTTGCTAGAGATTAAGATAAGATTACCGATTTATCGATTTGTTTCCTACGGTGCACACTACTTGCCTCTCATCACCATGTAGTCGTCAAAATTCAATTCTCTCCGACCAAGAAACTGTACAACAAAAACATACAGGGCTTTCCTTGAGGATCACTAACATGAATCTCTATCATAGGTAGTAAATAGAAAAATAATGAGTGATAAATTTAAAATCCAAAAACTGATGATTATTTTAATTTTAATAATAATTTACAAAATTATTAATACTATTAGTTATTTGCTGCACATACTTTGCAAAATATACTTAATGACGTGTAATTATGCTAAAACAATGTACAATCTCACAAATTAAAAGTGTGTATGTAAAACTAAAAAACTTTCCTTGGCTTAAAAGGAACTGTTGCGTCGGGAGGGAATTCGGATATCCTTGGGGGCTACTCCTATATAAAATATTGACTACTTGGCTTGCGAGGCAGCTAGTAGTTTATTACCCTAAAAGTTACGATAAGAAATGGAGGCAATTTGTATGTGCCTGTTTCCTAATAGTAATAATAAATTGTTAATGAAATACCTAATGAAAAACTCATTTAGCTACTTTAAATAATTATAGTTGATACATGCTGAATTTATGAAAATAATCGGAAAAAAAGAAGACAAAAAATATATTACCTTCAAAGAACTAAATAGATATTATAAAAAAATTATTCCTGAGACTCATCTCAAATATGTTATAGGCAAATACGGGGAAACGCAAGGTAAATATGATTTTTTATTTTTATTTTTTTATCATCGTAAATTGAATGTGTAAAAATAATATTCACTGGAAATAATGTGGTTTTACAATTAAGTGTTTCTATTTTATTTGGCTAATATATTTAATCTAATCTAACTTATTCTGAACCAACCTATCCGATGATATAATTTAAATGTTAATACAAAAAGTAAATACAAAGTACTAATCACAAAAATTCACACTAATGCCATAAACGTTACTGGATTAAATATAACAAACTACCGATACCAGCATTTTGTTTAAATGTCTGTTTATATTCTACCTATATAAATATATTATATACAATTTATCTAAAAAGCTAAATATATGATTGGGGTCTGTCTTGTGTAAATCACCAAAAATTTACTTATAAATTTTTTATATAAAATTTACTGATGATGAAGGTTTTAAAATATAATTAATTTTATCTACTACCACTAGTCCTGCTTGAAGTACACTTATTTAAAAAATAACTTTGAATTTTAACGACTGATTTCACAATAAGTGACTAAAAATGATGTCGTTGCTCACATTCCACCCCATAATATAGAAAACAAAATATTATTCACTTATGTTGTTGTATTATACTATTATAAAAAAAATATATTTTCTGAACACATTGCACTCACTAAAACATTTTACTATCTATTTTTTTTATGAATGCTTAGTAGTTTATGATACTTTGGTGTTTTACAGATGATCAATACCGAATGACTTTCGATAACTTTTCAAGAGCTATTAACGGTGGTTATCTTACAGATCTGTTTCATAATAAAATGACGGTAGTAAATATTACTGTTCAAAATTGTTTTACATCAGTTTTGTATAAGATTTAAAAAACTTGTTTAGGCGATGTATAATTTATTTAAGGAAATACTCCCAAAATATGGGGGAAGAAACTATATAATGCTCGATGACATGGTTAAACACTATGGGATTAAAAAACCCACAGACTTAGAAAATTTCGGACGAATTTTACAAAAATACGGACAATTTCGTTGTAATTATGGTTTATAATATTATTGCATTTAATTGACGTAAATTTTTTATTAATAATACCTTATACACCTTGTATACATTGCTTAGCGCCGACTTTAGCCGAAAGTGGTCAAATGAAATATTTTGACTATAAATGGAATGGTAAATATGATTTTTAATAACTACATTTATTCTTAAGTGAACTATATGTATGATTGTTTGAAAATAAACGTGCCATTTTCAAAAACCAATTACATAACCTTATTAAAATAATGCCCACATGAAATTATAGGTTTTAAAAATAATATAAATGCTTTTGTTGTACTATATTATTTGCATAGCTAATAAGCACTAAGTAATAAATACTAGTTGTGCTGTGCTTGGTTTTACTATACAAGGTTTTAATGTTCTAGTTTTCGTACACAGCATCAATTCATTTAATCCGATGTAACCACTTTCAGAATTAATAATCGTCTTTTCCACATTTTCCTTACTTCAAGCTGTACTGATAGCTACTGTATATTATTTATTTCTTGGCTTCTTATTTTTACTGTGCAGGATTTATGTCATAACTTTTAAACGCTAACATTGCCTTCTTATTTAGTTTTGTGCAAAATTAAAAAAATTAAAAATACATTATAATTTATAACTATAATATTATACAATAAAATTATGATAGTTTATCGTTCAACTCTAAAATCATACAGATTATAATATTCTCACTAAAATTTACCTTCAGCTTTTAAGTCTAAGACCACTTTCAGTTGTAATAATTCCTGTAAACCTGTGACCCCCAATCACCACTATGCCCCGACCTCACTGTACTGGCTTTTTCGGGTTTTCCTGATTTTGGGGTAGAAACAATTGACATTTTTAACTTGTAACCCACTACAGCACCAATCGCATACAATTTTGGATGTATAAAGGTGCTACATGAGTAAATCGGTCAAGAGGAAAAAAGTTATCGTGTTAACATACAAAATCAGAAATCATTGTAGAATTAATACCATCTCAGATTCTCATCGAAGCTAAAATATTGTGAAGCCCTTTGTAATTTAAAACATGTTAGCCTTTAAAAGCTTATAATAATATATTTAAGTTATATTTTTTAAAATCTTTTTTACATTAATGTTTGGGCTGTTTTAAATCAATAAAACATCAAGCGGATGAGTTTCAGATAAATCCATGTCCATAGTTTTAAGCCAACGTTTTGGACTCTTTGCAGAGTCCATCTTCAGGGATGTGATAGTCACAACTGTTCGACTGCCGTGGCTATACTAACCGCCTCACTCATTCCTTACCATTATTTATGCGTCCCGTTTCCTTGATACCGTGTGGTCAATAAAACATTTTAGTATTTTTTTTAGTAATCTATACATTATATTTATATTATGTTTGTGATTTTCAGGTGGACAGTACCTATTAAATTTCCTTAACTTTAAAAGAAGCATGAACTTTGGAGATCTTTCACTACCGGAGTAATGGAAATTTTGTCAATGCTTCCTCAAAAGTTTATTATGTTAAGAAAAACGCAAAAAATATAATCAAAACGATTAAAATGTTTCATTAATAATGTTTCAAACATTTTTCATAATAATTATAATATGTCGTTTGACACTTAATTAGACATTGGTGTTTAATCAAATAAAAATACATAGAAAAAAATATTAACGTGATCGTTCTTGTAGTGTTATCAGAGCTCAACATTATCCACAAGCCATAACTTAACCTAGATAATATTTTTTAAAAAACAAAAATCTACTTGTATTCTTCTCATTTTTTTAATATGTACCTTGGACGTATTACATTCTAGTAGCAACGAAAAATGTCCTGTTGTTACTAAGATAATCCAAGTGAATTCTTAGTGTTGCTTAAGTCCTTGTAATATAAAATATGTAAAGTACTAACGAAAAGTGCCTTAGGGGGGTCACAAGCCTTTAGTAATATATAATGCCGACATTTATAAATTCTTTTTAAATAATTGCTTCGGTGCAAAACTGGAAGCAACAGAATAATTAATTATAGTTTTGGACATTTTCAAAGTAAATGTTATACAATTAAATGTTTAATATTTGAAGTAATTCCGTTATGATTACACCAAGTAGCAAAGCAATTAATGTCATATTGTAATTGAGCAGCATCAGACAGTGAATTGATCGTTTTAAAGATTTTTGAATCATCGGCAAAGAAAAGAAATTGAGAATACTTTAGTCTTTATTACTGAAGCTGTATCGTTAATAAAAAACAGAAATAATAACGGTGAAAGGTGAATACCCTGTAGAAAACCAGAAGTAATGGGTAGAGGGTCTGATATAAAATTTGAAATCTTTATAATTTTAAATCTATTTGATAAGTAGTATATAACCAGGATAATAAAGGATTTTCCAAGCCATATAATTTTAATTTAGAAATAAGTAGTTAATGGTCTACTCGGTGAAACGCTTTTTCGAAATCAGTGGTGATAACATCTGTTTGAAAACTGGAAGAAAATTAATTTAAAATATGTTCTTTAAATATTACCATATTAGTAATAGTAGACTTACCAACACGAAAATCATGTTGTTCATTTATTATTAGTTTACTACGTATATGGGAAAGTTTATGATTACTAGTTTAGATAAAATTTTAGGTATAATTAATATTTTTAATATTGGCCTTTATAATTAATAATATCACAGCTATCGCAATTTTTAAAGTAACAAAAGAATATTTCCACATACTAGGAAAAATACCTGATTTGAGAGATATATAAAACAAAAATTAAATCGGAAATGATAGAATACAAGCACATTTTTTTTAAAAATGTTACAGATAAATTATCTGGACCAACGTCATTTGAAATTTTTTTGACATAACTCAGGACGATTACAGCTATTGCAAAATGAATATAGTAAAATATTACATAAATAAGGATAACGAACCGTATTTTACTACAGTATTGTACTATACTTACACAGATTATTGTTTTTTATGCACCTACAGTATTAGTATTGTGATTTAATCGAGGAATTTTAAACCGTTACTTCAGATCACATAAAAGTGATGTCGTCATTTGATTTCTTATGAATTTTATAACCTAAATGACATATTATAGTATTATTAACGGCATTACACAGCTATAGATTTAACTTATCATACATTTTGTGGGATGTGTTTTAAGAGTAATGAGAGGGTTTTTCGATAATATTCGGTTAATAATAATATCTCAGCTTAGAAATGCTACTCGTATACTAGTTTATGCAACCTATATCAATATAACGGAAATATTTTCATTATTAAATCGGTCATTTCAAAAAGGCCATACATCTACAGTTGTGTGAATTTTTTTTTTTAATAAACGTGTTCATATGAATTAATACGAGTAATAGGGATATCCTGATTTTCTAAAATTTAAAAAACCGGAATTTTTAATTCCGAAATCTGGAGTTATATACACATTCCTTCTCGATATTTAAACTGTTCAATACGAGTGCATTCGAAAAAAAAATTTCTTCTTTTATTTTCTATTTCTCTTTTTGTACTAAAAAAAGAAGTATATTTTAAATCCTGGAAAATTATGATTCATGGATATATAACTGTTGGTTTAATTATTTTTATAAACTATAATCTATAAGTAAGTGTCAAGATGTCTGTATTGTCGATGATATAATTTAAAACCACGGCGTTTACCATATGCTATGGTTGCTCATCTTAACTATGTTTTGTGAACTTGTAGACCACGAGATAAATGTGTATGTATATTTTATACTGTTTCAATAACAACTAGTTATATACTAGTTTATCTTTATACAATTCTTTCAGATCATTTTTTTTGCCTATTGTTGTATCACAATGTTTAAAAATACAAATTTCAAATATAGTGAAATATAATATAATAATTACATCATTCTTTTTAAGTATAAATACAATCATTGGGATTTTCATTATTTAGTTTAATCATAAAGGGTGAACAATTTTATTGTTTGATCTGCCTTACTATTAATTAAAATATCAAATAAAAAATAATGACGGTTGGAAATCTTTTAAAAAAAAACTTGCAATAATAGCTAAGTATTGACTGAATAAAGATATACTATAGTTTAAAATTTATTGAACCTATTTTATTACAATAGTCACTAGAAATGATTATTTCCTAAAAAGATTTCCATTTGAATCGAGACAAGACGAAAAGCATGTCAATGATCTTAAACAATCAAATATTTTAATTCAATGCATTTGTAGATTTGTGATTTCAAATTTATTACAACTCTTAAAACAAAATTTGCTATACTGTACTAGCTCATTTGTCTTGTTACTATACAATTCGTTCTATTTTGAAAACGCTCTTTTGCTCTTTGTAATTTTATTCTATAAATTAAATCAATAGTAACAAGTTGTTGGTGAGTACACGTCAAACCACATGTTGTCAGTACATTTACATTATGTATTATGTCTTAAGTAATACTATGAATCAGATCATACACTGAATATTTAATTGTTTTAAGATTGTCATCGAGCCATGCAATACATACAAATTGTGCAGTGTTTTGTAACAAATACAGTACACTAGGTTATTGACCTAATCGGCATGCAATTGAAATTTAAAATTGTTAAAGTAAGGCAGACTAAAAAATCGTGTATCTTTGTTGCTTAAATTTTTGTTTGTTTTTTTTTTTTTGAAATATGGAACGATAATACCAGAATGTCGGTGATAAATTGCCAGTAAACCATACTCCTACGATTTACTGTAAAGTTGCTATTTAAAAAAAATATAAGATCAAATTATGCGTCAAAGTTTATTTTATTAAATATATCTCACACATTGCGGTGTTTCTATGTGAAACGCTTAAAGCAAGACTATAGGCGGCAAGTTAAAATAATAAATAACAGTAAAATAAATGTGTACGCAGTAGTATGAACTAGTTTTTTTTATAAGTAGCAAGTCGAATAATGTTTTGAGTGAATTGCGTAGTTATGCAAATAGTCGTTTTATAAGTGTTTCGTTCTACCGATTCTAACAACACATACTTTACACCGTGTGTAACGAATAATGAATAGTACAATGTATGTGGTCGTGTTAATTTTCTTATATGGATCGTTTGTAACATCTTTCGTGTATGGGTATCCGTCGTTTTTAAAATTTTGGCTTAAACCAAAATCAACGCAGCCGACCGAAGTAATTATTATCGAACTTATATAGTATAATCGAAGTCCTAAACAATTATATTGCATTCAAAACCGATAATTAAGCCGAGAAAGGATTGCCATTTTTAAGTTTGAATGAATGACAAAAAAATATACTGTACAGGTTTTATACTTTAAATGCGCTCAGACTACATGAATTACACATTGTTTTTATCAGCAGATATAAGTCAACATAATATTAACAGGTAGTTTAGAATTTAAATACCCACAAGTTCCATCCGACTAACTGAATTCAGTGTTATACAATTAATTTAAAACAAAATTATAATAAGTTTTTCAAGATTATACAGTTTTATGGTAACTGTTACTCCTGAATTCTGAACGGAAAGCAAGTAAACATATTGGTTTGACGTAGTAAAATTTGTTTTCTTAGCATGGAAGTGTTGGCAACGTTATTTTTTTAAATAACGTTAGCAACACTTCAGATATGCTGGTATAGTTTCGCTAAACCATAAAATTTTTAAAAAAAAACGGTCGCTATTGCTTAAGATAAAACTGGGTGGGTTGAACACGTTTTTGGACACAGCTACAATAATTTTAAGGGTACTATTTTATTTTAGCATTAATTAGATAGATAAGATTAGGAAAATAAATGGATGACATTAAATTATTTATTACTAACTGATACCCATTTTACAAAGTTGTCCTTCCCTCCCCTGGCCAAATGTAATATTCCATGTATTTAAAAGTTTACTTAGATAAAAAAAAAAGAAAAATTGTTATTATTTATTTCTGGCTAGATGAAAATTTAAAATTAAAATTACTTATTTTGCTAATAAAATAATAGTGATTTAATTTGAATTCATGTTTTTTTTTTTACCTTTTTTCGCTTAAACCATACCTGGAAACTAATTTTGCCTAACAGATCATCAATTTTCTTCAAATCGTCCACAAAGTTACAACTTTGTAATTAAAACTTGAAAAAAAATGCTACTTGAATACTACTTTGAATACATTTTAGAAATGTATTCAATTTTAATGTATTTAAGAAATAATATGGTGTTCTAGACTCTAGAGATACCAGACGTAATTGATGACTAGATTTGGGTTTAATAACATAAATTAGAACGATGTATTTTTGTGTTTGATCCGAAAAAATGTCATACATCGCTGTAAATAGATAATAATTATACTATACTGCCAAATATTTTCCAGGGGGTACTCGAACCTCGAAGGGACTTAGGAAGGGACTATCTACCGTTTCTAACCATCGAAGATTTAAATTTCTATTACCGCAAGATGCATAATTGTTACTGTTTGGCGATCAGTAAACTTACAGTACAATATTATTATATTTATTTTTAAATAAACTTGTGGTTGTGCTTGTTTTCAGGATTCCGAGGAATACGAAATGTTGGACACACACAACAAGGGATTCGTTTATGTGCTGAACGATCTGAAAACGATGAACGACCATCCCATAGTATTCGACTGGGACGAGATGACAATGTTGTCGGAGTCATCCAGCTACGGCGTGTATAGAACAACACAAAAAGAAGTCGCCCTATTGAAGTACAAACGGAAAATGCAAGACTTGCAGTGCACAAACGGGGCGATCGCGCAGTCTGTGCTTTACCATCTGAGACGTTTCGCCAAACAGAAGAACAAAACTAGCGCCGTCGTGCAAACAAAACCCACGTTGGTTCGGTTCAAAACGACCGTGGCCAGAATGCTGTCGGTTTTGTTGTTCGGCAAGACTGTGGCGCATAGATGGCTCTGGCTGTTGTATTTCGGGATTTACAGGGCTTTGGATCCGGATTGGACCGACCGAGACTTGATGGCGAGTTACCTTACCGACGACCAACGGCTGGGCGCCACTATTTCAGCGTTTACCGAGATGTGCGTCAGACACGGTTACTTGAACGAAGACTACAGTGTCGCCAAACGTCTATACGAACCACCGGAAACAGAGCGAGACGCACATAGGTTTATGAAAAACTTATACGGCAAGCTCTACGACGACGTTATGCTGGACCACGTTTATAAGTATGCCGACTATTTCGACGTGGACAACCTGTACTTGAGACGGTTTTGGGACGAGCACGATGCCATTTGTGCAGCGGTACCGGGTGTGCAAATAGAGTGGAACGTAACGATATCACTGTTGGACAACGCCAAGACTTTAATGGCCAATCACATTAAGAATAACGCGTGGCCGGCAAAGCCGTTCCAGATGAACGTTTATCTGAAATACGTGATCAGCATTTGCAAGGTGAAATTGTTCATGTACACGTGGATACATTTGACATGTTATCGGGAAATCGTTTCAAAACCGTATTCAATATCCAAACTAGACTATATTAACGACATGTTGTATGCCGTTTTATCCACGGCTGCGGATTTACTTTACGCCAACGACGAGTTTGTGGACGAACTAAAAGATTTGGTTTTGTACATAACAACTTCAGAAAAACGGGAAATTCAAAACATGGCCACTCGGATAATGAACAAAATCGACGTGGAATCGATTGCGTTGAGTGAAAACCGTTTGTCACATAGTTTTAACGAGACGTTCGACCGTCAGAGTTGCACGATGGAGTTTTTGGAAAACAATTTGAACTCACTAGATGGTTATTTTGGAAACATTAAAATCAAACTCGACCAAATCGACTTTGTATTCATCTCGTTTTTTATTGACGGAGAACAAAACCACGAGGAAACGTTCGTTGTTAACGAACGTTTACCTCATCAAAAAACGTTCACAGAAAATATGTTACGAAGCTTTTTTCATAAAATATTGAAACAATACCTATAATTTGTAAGTATTACATTGCAATATGTATAGGTCCATAACATGCATAACATTAGGTACCCTGTAATTTGTACCTAGATAAATGCTGCAAACCATTAGTGTGTTTGTTGGTATTTATTCGGCAAATCGTTGAATGATTGATCTTTACATACATATTATACTTACACGGTAACTAATGATCTTTTTCAGCAAAATATGCATTATTGTATACATAAATAAAAATAAAACGTTTAAACAAGAATGGAAGGTTAGCTTCGCATCAAAATAATAAAATTATTACTGTTCATAAAGACGAAAAAATAAAAATAAAAATGCAGTAACTATTTAAATTATAATTTTATATTTATTTTAATTATATCTTATTTAGGCTTTGTAAATTATTTTAATTGAAATGTGTTAATTATATTTTAAAGTTCAATATAATACAAAAATTATTGGGTTGTTTAATAAATCATCAGCAAGGTTAAATTACTTACCTTACCTGTTTCCAAAAAAAAACTACTAAGATTTACTAGGATTATTATATATTTTTATTATTCAAAATATTTTATTAAATTCATAATAATTATGTGCATTAAATATGTTATTAGTAGTGTACTTTTACGTTCATAATTAGCACTATGTTGCCGCTAGAAAAATTGAAAGTAAAGATTAATATCGCTAATATTATGCACAAATCCAGTTTTAAATCCAACTAACATACTCCATGTGCTTATTCCTCGGTATACCGATGATTGGACGCATTTTAACTATCAGCTAACTTGGTGTTCAAAATAACTGATACTATGGAATACGACGTTCGTAAAACCTATAAAAAATGTATTATAAAGTATTTTAATTAAGGTATAATTCACTCAGTAATTCTATATGTAAAGAATACTTTTAAAATATTTTGAAAGATATTGAGTGCAATATTATTAAATTGATAACATTATAAAAAAACGTTAGGGTGTTTAAAAAAAAAAAGGGTACAACTGTTCAACTTTTGGTCTTATAAAAGATTATCATTTGTATTAGCGTTTTTTAAATGAAATAGCTAGCTATTAGGTCAAAACTCGATTTTTAAGGGAAACAGATGAACTTTTTAAACTATTGTCCAAATAAAAGTACGATTAATAATCTATAGACTTGCTACATAAAGAAACCGAGACATAAAAATAATTAAACACTTGATTGTAAATCAATACCTTATCGACTCCACATCAGTTATATACTTAGTTATAAAACTTGGGTGGGAGATAGGGTTTTGGGGATGTGGGTGAGAATGGGGTTGGGGGTGGGGGTGAGAATGATTTTGGGATGGGAACGGGGTTGGAGGTGGGAATTAGCTCTGGCACATAACCGAAAAAAGTGTTACCAAAAAAGCGTTACGCTGTTATCTGATAAGAGATGAGAGATTTGTTGTACGTTCAACGTTCAAATTAGAACTAAATGATAAATTCAAAATAGTTTAAGGGCCCAAATTCTCTATGAATTGTTTTAAGGCCAAATATTAAAACTACAATATTAGTCAGAGACTTGATGTTTTAATATACTAGCCCCCTTAGATACCAGCTTGTTACTGCTTGTTAATATACTATATGATTACCTACCTATAATTCCACCACTACTCTAAATTTATTTGGTACTTAAACGAGACATGAAAATGCTCTTTCGTGGTTGCAGACTCGGCTGAAAAACTTTTTCATTTTTTGATTTTATTATATTTAAGTTGTAAAATGTACAAATTTTTAGGGCGTTTAACGCTATTTCGAAAAGGAAGAGCTTTTTAATTTTGAAGCCAGATATTTGAACAATAGATGTAGAATTATTAACAATCTAAAAATAAATAGAAAACTTATGTAAATAACATTTGTATATACTTAACTATTTTCAAATCAAATTGTATAAATCAATAGTATGTAAGATAATTTGTTATTATAGTGTTTAAGTAACCTTCAGTTTTTAATAATAATATGCATTTAAAAATCTCTTTCCCCTCCCCATAGCACTTACTGATAATATCGCTATTACTTTTTAATTTTACTATGACAACCTACATTTATGTTTTATTTAGCCTTATAAATAGAAGAATTTATAGTAGGAGATGCAACGAGGGATGTGTGCATATCGTTGAAGTTGTATAAAGTAAAAATGTAATATTAGGTTCTTTTTTATGTGGATTATATTTTATACACGTTGATAAAATATATTTTATATTTTACAAAAAATCCATATTGTTAGTGAGCAAAAAATGTTTGGCCGGGGGATTATGGACGGCAGCAACCGCCTAAATCGTATGTATCACAAGGCCCAAGCCTTATGGCTAGTGCGGCGTTAACTGCCATCGCGCCCCCTGGCCAATACTGAATCCGCCACTCGTATATATACCTTGCCAATGTCGAGAAACGAACACACGGCAGAATTTGTCAATATTTTTGCGTTTCTTTAATAAACCGTAAAACTTGGCTTGGAAAGAAATCGCAATTAGGTTGAAACCATTAAAATGCTACACTTGCCGCAAAATAATCGCGATCGACCATCGTCGCTTTTATGTGATAAATTTGAAAAACTGTAGTGGTCTCAAACGAGGTCAGAGGAAAACCCCAAGCGACGAATTATCAGAGGCTCCGAAACAGCAGTATTTTTCCATTGCTGTATGCAATTCCGTAAACAGTAAAAGCAGGTTGTATGGCGTCCTCTGGCCGACAATATATGTATTCCTATATCACACGAGACACTGAAATGAGGCGCTGTAAGTAACGAAATCGGTAAACACGAAAATGGCCAAAACTAAACTGTGTTTACAAACAACGACCGACTGTTAATTTAAGCTATTTGCTAGACATGTTAGCTTGTGATCTAATAATACTATTATCTGTTCCAAAACGAACATACCGCTTTTGTGCATTACGACCGTGCTATCATGATAGTACTATCAAGTCGCCCTTGACAGTGTGATAGCACAGTACCTGTAATACCACAATACCCGGTAAAGAAATGTTTATATTAAAAATTATTTCATTAATTTTTATTTAAATATCTAATTTTAATTTTTTTCATAATGGTGTGATACATACATAATTGAAATTAGTTTATGTATTCGTGTATGTTGTGCGGCTAGTATTGTTTCTTAAAAGGGATAACTTGTACATTTCATAACCAATGCACTAAGACTTAGAATATTTTTTAAGTAACCGTGTGACCTGTCTCCTGTGTTAGTTTTTTCAATTTAGATTTAAATTACTTTTACTTATAATAATAATAATAATAATAATATATTCAAGACAAAAATTGTAAGACCACTACCAAATATAATGACTTATCAGATATTCTCGAAATAATAGCCGTATATCATAGACCCATAAAGAAATATAACATTATAATATTTAAATACGTTGTCGAAATTTAGCATTAAAAAATACATTTTTGAGTGTTTTTTTATTTAAGTTATACTCAAATTAGTTTTTACTACTGAAATTTATAAAAAAAAAAACTAAAAAGTATGTAAAATAATATTATAATATAATGATAATTGACCAACTGAAAATTTTCTCTCGAGAATGTATAAAAAAAATGTTTTTACAAAAGATTATTGGAACATATTTGGATAGGAAATATTTTTAATGAAGTTACCTTATACTCTTTTCGAACACCACTTTTAAACTTTCTATAATTTAGTTTTAATTCCTACAGAGTAAAATATTAGGTATAAACTCCGCAGTTAATTGTCTAAAAAAGTGTTATCGTTTATGTGACCACTACTTACGCTTAAACAAAATTTCAAATTAAGAACTTTCTCTGGTGTTGCTTTCATTTTAAACTGATTCGCATCATTCATGGCCATTGCTAGAAGCAGTAACTTTTTAAAGCCAATATCCATCGCCGTCCAGTCACAACTGTACAACCCAAAATTAATCCCTTCTCTCTGAAACCATTACTTATTTAATAAATAATAACATTTTTTTAGGAAAAGTATGGTACATTACTTTTTCATGTAGTAGGTCCAAAAAATACGTGTACAAAATTAATTGCGTGGCGAAGAACATAAAAGAAACAATGAATTGTAATAAAGCATACAAAATAAAAGAACCAGTCACCAATTGCTAAAAACAAAAAAAGTATAAATATATTGTACATGTATTGTGATTTTTGGTAGTATAATCATATTACAAATGAAATTATATATGAAGTCGTTATAAGTGAACAGGAACAAACGGCAACTTGAAGTAGTACAACTAAACGGACAATGGAATAGAATTCTTTCATATACCTAAATAAATTAGATTTTTGTTACGTCACAATATTTCTACCATAGTGAGAGCCGATTTTGTTTTTTCGTGGTAATTTTTTTAAAAACTTATGTACTATATCAAAATCATTTGACAACAATAACCAAAATCGACTAATTTTCCTCAGTGGACCTAAATTTAGATTTAAATTTTCTGCGGCACATTTAATGATTGAATTGTATAAGTTGTTATTGAAAAAAGTTGTTTGTTAAGAAATTAAATGAATTAAATTAAATAAATGTATAGATCCAATTAAGTTTAAATGTCTCTATTCCTCTCTTGTTAGACCACATCTGAAATACGCTTGTCTTATTTGGGAAACCAAAATTAAAGTCATAGCAACAAAATTAAATCTATTCATAACAAAGTCCTTCGTTATATATTATTCTATAAATGTAACACTACCAGACAAGCCACTTTGGTCATGAAAATATTAGACAATTATTATATTTAAAATATAGGAAAGATTTTTCTTATGCCATGTTTCTAGAAAAATTATTAATAAATGAGATTGACGATTGCTTCCTTCTTAGTCAAATTAAATCTAGAATAAATCCTTACAATATGCGAGACAAAGACCTTTTCTATATTCTACAACTCTCTATAAATTATTTAACTTACTCCTCTATTATTATAATGCAATCAGCTAGTAATCGATTTTGTAACGATAACATATTTAATGTGTTTTTGTTAATATTGTTATTATTAATTTATTAAACAATAACTTATCATTTTATTATTTTATAATTATATCAAATATATTGTTATGATTATAATAAATAATGTAAATTGTAATGTAATTTGGACTTATGTCCTTTAAAAATAAATAAATATAAATTAAAAACTCTTACAAATGTACTTTTTGACAATCCGATATGATTATTTTCAAGTCTTCATACATTTGAATTTGTTCTACTGTACAACAAAAAAGTTCATTAAAACCTAACCTAATCTAACCTATCCGAATTGACCTATTCTTTACTGGAAAAAAAGTATTTACAGAAAAAA